GGATTGGTCCCTGACATAAAGTGCTTTCAGACTCCATAATCCATTAAAATCACGTTTATCGGAGGATGCAGACGAGAGGTGCAGCATGCTTGTGTCTCCAGGTCCTGAGTTCACGTGGAAGCAAAGCACCTGAATGCATCAGTGATGGAAACACTGACACATCGATTGGATCTGATCTACGCTGGGCAGTTACTGGCAAAACTGACAGCACCGTGATGCTGCTGCAGGTACCGCTCCCCTGTGGGTATCCTTATTCCATCCAAACCAGTAGCAATTTTCCGGAGTGAGAGGGCCCACCAGGCCATCGCATGCCCTGTGTGAAGCAGAAAGCTTTCCTGTGAGTCCATGCGTGTGCAGACCAGCTCCTGGACAAAGCACAGCAGAAAAGGCAGAGGCTCTGCTAGGAGGATTGCGTGCTGTAGGATTTACTAGCTGTACCGAAATCTGCCCCGCAAAACGAGTGTCGTGCAGTCTGTACGCCTCTTGGGCTTGGATAAAAAGCACGCGCAGAGGGGAGGCCCGCTGGGACTTCATTGCTCTGCTATTATCGTGTCAGCAGCATGGGTTGGAAATGTTTTTCCCAGAGAGAGCAAGGCCGAAGGGAGAATCGACTTTTTAGAAAGCCGGTTCCTGTCCCCCACATCCCCGGGGGCCTTGTGCAAGGTGAGAGGCCCAGCTGTGAGCACAGCACAGCCTGGCTTTGCCAGCGGCCGCTACCTGACCGGGATGAAGGGCAAGGGATGGTGCCAGGCTGCGTGTTGGGGAGAAGGAAGCTGAGAGAGAGGCTTCATGGGGTGAAACCTCCAGGAAACAGGGCAAGGAGCAGTGTGTGACAGCAGCTTTTCCACGCTCGGAGCAGCTCTGCCAAGGCTGGGGGCTCCCGGGGGCTGTGGCGGCAGCTGAATGAAATTGTCGCCGGTGCTGAGGCGCTCGGAGAGCTGGGGGCAGATCCTGGCTCTGCGCCCGCTGGCAGAGCTCCAGGGGATTTCACCGCAGACAAGCTTTTCTGACTCCGCACGTGAAACAAATTGCCAGGGTGAAGCTGCAGAAATAACGCCTGGGAAGGCAAGGCCTGCAGAAATCCTCGCACAGCGTCGTGCTGCAGCTCCAGGGGCCTGCTGCTGGCAGGAGCCGTGGCTCAGCAGAGCCCCGGGATGTCCTCCTGGGAGGGAGGATGAGCTGGGAGGGGCGAGGTGCTGCTGAACCCACCTGGCTTGCCACCTAGCTGCCCCTTTGTACGCAAACACACTTTGGTGCTGAATTTTTTGACCCGCTTCTTTCTTTTCCCAAGCTTTCCCAGCAGCTCCAGGGACCACCCATCAATATCACCACAGCAACAAGAAGTCATTAATGGTGTCCTGCCTGCCCAGAGGCGCTCGGTGGGCTGTCACCGGCAGCTCCAGGGATAACAGAGAGAGCTGAGGGCCTCTGTGGGGTCAGACCTCTGTGCCAGGCCCTGCTTTGGTGCGGACAGTAAGGGGCACAGCTCTCCCTTTAGCAGCGTGTGCCGCAGGGAGCCGCTGCCAGGAAAGGAAGGGCTGGATTTGCTGCACAAGTGGGGATGAACCTGCCTCTCTCAGGCTTGTTTGCATCTGAGAGGCGCTTTACATTGCAAATAAGTGACTGATCCAGCCTCCAGGGAGCTCAGAGCAAAGCAGGAGGCTCGGGGGCCAGGGAAGGGGAATGGCAAGCTAACCGGCGAGGACAGATGAAAGACATGTCATATAATTCTGCTAAATGGTGGAGGGAGGGAAGTTCTCAGAGGGTGGACGTTAGCACTGCCAAGCTGCACTGATTTACACCCAACTCATGGCCTGGCCCACGGGCTGCTTGGCTGGAAAGCCTCTGAAAGAGAGGGGGGTGTTTAGAGAGGCCCACGTAGAGAGCTGGGGACTGAGGAGCTGAAAATGTGCAAAGAAGAAGAAAAGAAAGTCAGGATGTGTGCATCCTGTCACCTGTGTGCATCCGGGCTGGGGCTCCTGGTGCTTGCTGCGTGCCTGTGCCAGCACCCAGGTGGGCAGTGGGGAAGATCTGCTCTTTGGGTGCTCTTTAGGACTTTCTTCCTTCCAAGGAGTCATCCAAAGGAGCTCTGTGGCCAAACAGGGTGGGGACCCGCTGAAAGCTGGGCAGATGCTGGGTGATGCCATCTCCTGGCGCTGGTGCCACCAGGTGGATGCTCATCCTTGCAACCCTGCATTGCCAGCAGGGCTGTGGGAGCAGCACTGTCCAAGAGGCAGCGCGGTGCGCTGCTGAAACAAAAGGGGGATCCCACAGTAAGGAAGGGATCAGGAGCTCAGGTCACCTTGGAGGTCCCCTGCCTGAAAAAAATGAAGAAAGGGAGCCAAGAATGCTTAAGACCTTTGAGTGGTTCCATAAATGGTTTAGATGTTTTTTTTTTCCACTGCTTTGAGATGATTTAGGAGCTAATCCGACCAAAGTGGGAGTTTGCATGAAGCTACCAGCGATTCCTACGTTGTCCCTGGGGGAACTGTGTGTACCATAGCTGGGCATTCCCGTGATGGACAACAGATAAGGTAGAGAAATTCTTCTCAGGAACATGTACGTACCAAACGTGTATTTTTGGGCCTCTCTCTCTGATCAGTCAGCCCCAACCATGGCGAAGACCCGTTCTTTTTCTGGGAACAATGGCAGTGGTGGAGATACTTTGGAAGTGGCCACGGATGAGCTGGGTAAGCTTGTGCTGAATGCAGAGGCAGGGAGGAAAAACTGGGGAACGGCTCAGGATGGCACCTTTGGGAGCATTTGGAGGTACCACTGACGTGCACGTTCGCACGAGTACAGCCTGCAGAGGTTGTGGCTTTCTCTGTATTCTCTAGCTGTGAGCCCAAGCCGGCAGCTCTTCCTCTTGAAGAAAAGAAACCCAGGAAACTGGGCTGCGTTAGGTAACTGCCGTGGTCGCTCCTCTGCAATTAGCGGGCCCGCTGTAAGCCCTGCTGCTGTTCCAGCTGCTAGGACCGACCAAAAAAGAAACGGAGCTGGAGGAGTCACCAAACTGTCCTGCTGCCTCGACTGCCTCCCGCCGCATGGCTCTGCTGAAGTGAGCAGCCAAGAAAGCAAGTACAGCCAAGGCACCTTGATCTGTCTTCTTAACCTGTGGCTTGGAAAATCAGATGTGTCTGGCAGCCTCTCCCGGGAGACTGCTGGGGTTGCCTGCTCAGCAGCCGACGTGGAGCGATGTGCCTGACATGCTGTGTCCACGGGGTTTGCTGCATCAGATGGCACAAACCCACAGCAGCATTGCAGCTCGCTAAAATCCTGCGTACGGCTCTTGGAAGCGGGCCTTTTGCATCCCTCCGGCTGGCTGGATGTCTGAAATCAGAGGGAGACTGTGTTTCAGGTGAAGCTAACGTCCGGTCAGTGGTGCCTATTGCAAAACCTTTGTCGGAGAAATTAGGGTAGGACCTGAGGGTTTGGTTAATCACCGCCTTGTAGCGTGAGGAAGGCGGCTTTGGCTCTCCCCTCCTCTGGACACAGGAGCGTGGTGAGATGGGCACGACTCGGGAGTTAACCTGTTTGCAATGAGGTGCTTCAAGGAGCGTGGAAAACCGGGCCCGTCGGCCAGGCAGCACGGTCCGTGCGTGTGTGGTGTGAGCGATTTATCCATCGAGCTTTGGGGCAGTGTGCACAGGGCAGGCAGGACATGCAGCTGGGTAAATGAAGGGGCGCAGGGCTCAGGTCCACCTCGGAGCAACAAAGGGCTGGAAGTCGCTGCTTGGTTTAGGTGGGAGATGAGAGGGTGCCCTAGGCCTGCTGTGTGCCTTTAGGAGAGGGTGAGTTAGGACCCAGAACGGGAACAACATGTGAAAGATCAGCATTTACGTGTCTCCACGTGCTTGTGCTAGGAGCTGAGTGTGCCACGGTGCTGCCTCCGGCCTGACAAACCCAACCGTGTGAGCTGAAACCGTGATGCTCTGTGCCACCAGGAAGGGAGCATGGGAGAAAAAAGGGCTCGGTGTTTGTGTGGCTGTCTGGCTCGGAGTTATCCCGGTTGTCCCTGGTGTTTCCCAGAGAGGAGTGCTGTTGTCCTGCCCATGTGCTCAGGTTGAGCGTAGCTTCCTGGCGCGATGCGCACAGCCGTCGGGGTGCTGGCACAGGGGGACAGGCAGATTGGAAGGGTTCAGGAGGGCAAAAAGTCATGTTTGTAAAGGAAGAAAGCTCATCTGGGTGACAAAGATTAAAATCAATGATTTGGAAACAGAATTCCCTTCTTCCTCCACTAAATCCTGTCGTTTCTGGTGCCTGCCTGGGTGTCAGCAAGCTCAGCGCAGCCTCCTCGGGACGGTCTCTGTCTCCTGCCATCTCTCCCACCGCCTCTGTCTGTCCTCTGTCTTCTCTGGCCCTCTGCTCTGCAAACCTGCCCCGGCTCCCCTCTGCTGGCAGCGGGTCTCTCCCAGCTGCTCCTTCCCCAAAAGCAATTTCAGTCACCCCCCCACATCTCTGTCTGGAAAATCCTGCCCCGCTGAAGCAGCAGTGGGCTCACTGCTGTGGGAAATTGGTCTCGGTGTCCTCCAGGGCGAAGGGGGGCCCTCCCCTGCCACCGCTTTGAGGCAGGTGACAGAGGCCAGGGCCTTGCTGCTTCGCTCTCCTCGTGGCTGTTCCTCCTCCTGTCTGATTTCTTCCTTCCCTGCCTCACCTTTTTACCCACGCAGGACGGACCCCGTGCGTGCAGCCCCGGCACCTGCCTCCCGCAAGCTGTAGTTTCTCTTCAGACCGAGCAGTAAGAAGCTCGCTGCCTTGGGCAAGGACCATTGTGTTTCCAGCTGGTGCTGCGGCAAGGATTGCTTTCTCTTTCTGCTCAGTCCAGAAGCAGAGTGCAGGCTGCCCAGCGCGGCTCGGAGGGAGTCCCGCGGCTGTGAGCTGCTCACAGAGCTGCCTGATGGGCCCCGGTGCCACTGCCATTAGCAGCTCCGACTCAGGGGAGCCCTGTTCCCTGCGCCGTGCCTGGCTCTCACGTCGTCTCGTTCTCTCTTTCTTGACAGATCATGTTATAACCTATGATCACAGAAAGCCCCGATCCTCACGTTTCTCTGCTGTCACCTGTGGGCTCCTCCAGAGCCGCGAAGAAAGGGGAACTCCAGCCCCACCATGAGAAGACTGGGTGAGAAGTGCCTTTGACACCTTGGGGAACAGCAACGCCTTAACAGCTACTTTTAATTTTATTTGTAGGACTGTGATAATGTTCTTCACTCAGTGGTGATCCACGGGAGCAACTCTGCCTCCCCTCTCTGGGGTTAGGTCAGGCTTATTTCATTAATGTGGAGAAAGTGTGGCAGCCTGAAGCCCTGTAAGCAAGGGGTGAATCGAGCTGCCAGGGTTAGCAGTGTGGGCTGCCAGGCAATGCCCTGCCTGGGTGACAGCCCTCAGGGAGGAACAAGTCTCTTTATTCCCCACCTGGTCCAGGTGGCAGTGTACCTCCGTGGCAGGCAGCGTGCAGAGGACCCAGCCACACTACGGGGCAAAGTCTGGGCTGTAACTGACGTGGTCCTGCTTTGCTGTTCCTAAAGACCTCTTCCTGGGTGCTCAAGCTTGTTGGTTCTTGCTCGGCGTGTTATTAGGCACCATTGCTCCACCATCCCAGTGATCCGTTGCCCTTAGGAATCGCAGGCTACCCCCATATCCCTTGCCTAATCTTGCTCTCCTTTACATACAGCCCTTAATCCTTCTCTTTGCTGCTGGTTGCCAAAGGAAGGGAGTGGATGGGCCTCTAGCAGACACCCACACCTTGTGTGACTGCTGGCGGGTCCATGAGGCCTAAATCCTTAAGGGAAACGTGGAGTGCCTCTGTTCAATGTGAGCTGGCACGATGGGTTAAGAGGGCTCCTTCCACTTCCAAGGACGACTTAGACACTTAGGCCGCACACATCCTGCTGGTTTTAACTTATGTTTGGGGTTTTAATTCTTCACATTGCTCTGGCCATGGGATTTAGTCAGGTTCCCTGGGCCTTACAGTGCTGAGCAGGGGACATAGAAACAGCCCTGGAAAACCCACTTTTTTTTTTCTGGGCCTCCACCAAGCTGTAGTGTGGGGTGATCATTCAGGCCTGTGGCTGGCAGCTCTGAGGGGTGTATTTGTGACAGCCCATGGGGTACCTCTGCACTGGAAAGGCCTTGGGAATGCTTAGCCAGCAGTCATCTTCCTGTGAAGGGAAATCAGATCGTGGCAGGGCTGCAGTGTTACTCTCAGGGCCAGAATCACCACCAGCCAGCCTTCTTCTTCCTCGCTACTCGAGCCTTCCAGGAGGCCAGGCTGTCACATCTTCCTTTCGCAACCTCTTCCTCAGCCCCCACGTTCTTGTCTGTGACCCATTTGAGTTCTCTCTTGTCAACCACCCAGTTCCTTCGTGTAGCTGTGGGAATAAGCTGGGCCTGCAGCAAGCCAGCCAAGTATTCATCAGAAAAGCAGTGTGACTGTGAGGGAATTGCTGAGGGTAATATAAACTTCTCCCATATTCAAACAGGTAGTGTAAGGCCCCTGCTGGCTTGGCTAGAGGTAGAGAAGGTTCCTTGCCCCGTGCCCTGTGGCTCGTCTCCTAGCTATGCTGCTCCGTTTCCACCCAAGCTGTTGGTGTTTGGCTTCTGCATTCCCCGAGCAGATCTGCTGTTGCATCCTGCGAGCCATCAGCAGCCCGCTTCAGTAACTCATCTTTCCTTCCATTCACAGGTCTTCTGCGCGTGGCGACTCCACCCGTGTGGGAGCTCTGTTAAGGGAGTGCCCGGCAGCACACTTTGCTGTCTGTGGTCTGTGGACATTGACTGGCACCTAAGCGACACCCAGCTCCCTCCTCTCCCCCTAGAAGCCACTGTCTTAGAGCCTCCATGCGCATTTGCTATGACATACATCAATGTTGATGAGAGACAGGAACACTGCCGGGTCTTGAGCTGCCAAAATAATCAGCTCTGCGCACAACATGGCTTAAAGGATTTTCCGGTTAGCAGCATGCATCCTCTAAAGAACTTAGACACTCGCATTTGGTCCGGGGACTTCCACACTCTAGACTCCTGCCGCACAGGCAAGGCAGCTTTGGGCAGTGCTGTGGAAAACCGCCTGTATCGGAGCGTGGAGAACCTTCACTGGGCGGCAGTGGCTGACTCAGGGCTGCGTTCTCACTGCCGGAGCCTGGACAACGAGATCAGCTTTGGCTGTAGAGGCAGCAGTCAGTGGGCAGAAGGCTGTGTGGATGTGGCCCCACTACAGAGCACGTCGGACTCGGTGAGAAACCTTTCTCTCCGCCCCAAGCAGACATCACGGGCAGCGCAGAACGTGCTGCCCTTTGCCAAAGTGCCTCAGTGGCTCTTCCCCTCTGCAGAGGAAAGAGCCCTACGCGGGGATGCCAAAAAAGAACTGAAGGAGAAGCTGAGGCTGCACAGCAGTAAGGTGGCTGAGCCCAGCAAGCCGCTGCGCCCGCAGGCAGCCCTGAGTGAGCTGGTGGCCCAGGAGCTTTCTGAATGCCAGCTGTGCCAGCAGCACAGGAACGGCTGTGCTGTCAGCTGCTGCACGGTTTTGGGGGAGCACACGGCTCTCAGGCACGGCCTCGCGGGGAGGCAGAGCTGCTGTGCTGCACACAGGCCCGTCAGTCCAGAAGACATCAAGCAGGAGGCGCAGAGGAGGCTGCAGCTCCGAAGGCAGAACAGCTCACCCAGCCTGCCCTTTCAGCGTGCTGGGGAAAGCCCGGAGATGGCAAAATCCAGAACAGCAGAGTTCCTGGAACAGCGCGGTGGGGAAATAACGCTGGGGCAGGGCAAGAAGGGCCGCTGCAGAGGAAGGCTCTACATCCCCACCTTTGAGGAATTCAAGCAAATGAGGAGTAGGGAGGCAAAGCCACCTGCTGGAAGCAGTGAGCCGACAAAGTGCTTGAAGAAGGGTCTGATGGCAAACCAGGCCCTGGACAAGGAGAGCAATAACGTCTGCCCCGAAGCTCTGGGGACCAAAGCGGTGAATGAAGCTGCCACCATAGAGGAGGATGATGATGTGTTCCATGAAAACAACACCGCCGCTGGCTTTGCGCAATATCCAGCCACATGGGATGGTTTCAGGACGAGCAGCCCTGAGGTGAAGGAGCGAACCTTCCAGATCTCCAGCCCAGAGAGATCCCCGATCCCCATTTGCTCTAGCCCTATTCCGCGATCACCTTTGCAGGCTGTAGCCACACACAAAGCTGGGCAGGAAATCTTCAGTGATGAGCAGCAGAAAGGAGAGACAAGCCAATTAAATGATGTCCTCCACCTTGCAGGGCAGTCGCTGGCTTCTGAAGCCCAGTCCTCTTGCTGTTCATCGCTGCTGTTAGAAGCCACGGACTTGTCAAGCTATGGAGCTAAACTACAAAAAATGAAGGATGAATTCATAGGTTCAGCCCTGGAACTTATTAAGAAAAGGTAACACGCTCTGTGGGGTCGCCTGAAAGCAGTTCCTTTGTTAAAGGTCTGATCTCTTTCCCGATATGTACATTTAACTCCTGTAGCATAAATATGCTGCTGGCACAGCCTTTCATCTTAGGGCCTCCGTAGCCACATAGACATGTTTGTAAACCATTGAGCTTAAACTACATCTTTGTGTGAGATTAAACATCAAAAAGCATTTTCATGTTGTGCACCTTAATCCCGTCCAGACAGCAGCCATTGGTACTCCTGATACTGTTTCCCACCTATTTTATTTTTTTTTTATTTTTTATTTTATTTTATTTCTGAAACATTTGGTAAAAGTGGAGGACAGCAGAGAGATACAAACTATGAATATGCTCCCTTAGAAGAAAGCATGTGGAGTCTGTCCCCGCACTGTAGGACGTGAATTCAGGTGGTGTGCATGCAGCAAAAAGCACTTTCACTTGCTGCTCATTCTCCAAAAGCAAATTCTGTTACCCTACACATGTATGTAGCGATGGCAAACTGAGGGCAGGACAGCTGCTGTGAGTCTTCCATCATGCACTGGAGACCAGCACAGGCAGCAAGTGGAATTACCTGCACATACTGTCCCTCTGCCAGCTTACCCAGTGGGAAGCAGTAACAAATATCTGCATAAAACCTTCCTCCCTCTTCCCCAGATGGGGCTTTTCCTTCCTCTGGGTAAGGTGTTTATAAGAACTGCTTTCTTTGTCCTGGTTTCGGACACCACGCCATTTGAATGTTGAAATAGTTCCTGCTACACAGAAAAGGGGATCTTTTTCCATGCAGATGGGTGGCCTGGCAGGAATCAGCACCATTCGGGAAGCTAGGAATTTGGGGCAGCTCTCACTGTCTTATGGAAAAGGAGTGATGGGAAAAGGAGGAGTAAGTGTTGGTGAAGTGGTTTGTTTCCACAGGCTTGGCTTTCAGGATTGGCTTTACCAAGAATTCAATTTGACTCGGTTCCTTGGTTTTAGGGGAGATGTTAGGGGCTTCCGCATGGCAATGAGAGCTGTCTGAAGGAGTTGCTGTGGAGTTGTAGCTGCCCGTGTAAGCAGAGCCAGAGTGAGAAGCAGAAATACTTCAGCACCTCTGTAATCCAAAGGGAAGTGAGTGGTGTCAGAGCCATAAATACTGCCTTCAGCTGTCCAGCCCAGCCTTTGAGCTGGAGTATGAAAACCTGATGAAGAAATAGATAAAAAAAAAAAAAAAGTTGTGGTATGCAACCATTTTCGTTGAGTAGGCTATTTTTATCACCGATGTGAAACAAAATACACAGAATAGCACAAGCTGTGAGTAAGAACATAAGAGCAGCTGTCTGGGCAGATCAAAGGTTTGGCTGGTATCTAGAGCCCGAGGTGCGTGCATAGCAAGGGAAACAGGAACTGGGGAGCACATAGAATATTTCCTCCTCCTACCCTCTCAGCTTCCAAGTACTTTCTGGTCAGGGCTTTTATGGGTTCGGTGTGGTTTCTGTGCTCTTGATATCCTCAGTAGCTCTTGTCTCTGTAAATGTGTTGGGTCTGCCTAGATGGATTTATTAAAATAGAATTTGATGTAAATAAAATAATTCCCTCCAGAATGGGAATTCATTTAAAAATGTGAATGACAGTTATTAGGAAGATGGTTTCATGTCAAAGAAGCACTCAGACTTACTTATTTTAGACAGTAACAGCAATTAATGACAACGGCTGTCATTTGTTCAGGATAGCAAGAGGAAAACTAATCCGTCAGCACTGCCAAACTAGTGAGTAGTGGGAAACTCTGGTTTTCTTGCCTGGAAATGTCTCCATTTTCCATCATTTTCACCTGAGCCTGTGAAGTGCTGAATATTCGTTTATAACTTGAGCTGATTCTCACTGCTCAGGTAGGAGACTTCTGGTCTGGATGTTTTGGGTCCTAAATTGTGATCATTGGGGTCCAGGCTACATTTTTCCTAAGTCTTACCTAAAATGAGCTGAAAGCTGGGGATTTGGTCCCATTTCCACAGGTATGGAGCTCAGCAAGAGCAAGCCTTTGATAGAGATGTTGTGATGGAGCATCAGCAAATAAGATAGATAGCTGAACTTGTCTTCTTTTTCTGATGGTTTTGTGTGTTACAGTTTTACAAATCGCTTCTGTCTGGTAAGTTAATTGCCTCCCTAGTAACTTGTACTTACTAATTGAAGACTAGTTTAAATGGCTTCATATTTTAGCAATGAACATTGGATTTTCAACTTTGGAATTATGGCAGCTTTCACCCCCTGCTAGGTCACTGGATACCTTTAACGTAGGTTGTAATCCTGGGCAAGAGGGGTTTTAAGCAGCAAAGAGCTCAGGATAAGGATCTGCAAGGACTGGGAGTTCCTGTCTGTGAAACTGGGGGGGGGCAAAGCAACAACAGAAACCTGCAGAAGGAAGCGAAGGATGTGACTAAGAAAGAAGCCTCTTGAAAAGAGTGATGAGGGTGATTTGGGATGACACAGGGATGGTGAGTACAGTAACAGCTTCCCATAGCACAGCACAGGAAGGCAGGTGCCAATGGAGAAAGAGTGGACAAAAATGTCCACTCCAGACTCGCAGACTGGAAGGAGGAAAGCTGGCACCAGCAAGGGTCTGGCTGGGGAGGTACAGCCATGGGGAGAAACGCACAGAGGAGGGAAAGGAAGTCTGAGGGAGCAGGGCCGGGAAAGGGGCAGCACCTAGCTTGGCCAGCTGGATGTTCACTGCTCACCAAAGGACTGTGACAATGACAAAGGAAAGCTCAGCTTCTCCCTGAGAGCGTGGTGTGTGTGTTGAGGGCAGTGTGATCGAGAGCAGAAGACAATATTCCAGTTCTGGGCATTGCTACCGGGCTTGGATACACCCCGCTGCCTCTCAGTGCCTCAGTATGTTCTTGCCTTTTGCCTGTTTCATCCAGAAGCTGTTTGGGCAGAGCAGGTTTTGGACACGGTGGCTTTTGGCAGTGGCAGATCCTCTCCAAGAGCTTTGTTGCTCCCTAACCTCCTTCCCTCCTTCCGCTGGGCCCTGCTGAACTCCTCGTCCTTTCCCCAGATCAGTGAAACCGTCCTAGTTTGGGGGTTAGCTCAGCAAGAGCTGAAAGCCCTCAGCCTGCCGCTAGCACCGTGCTTCCTCTGGGGCTGGTAAATCTTCCTGTGGTGGCAGCTGGCACCTGGAAGCAGAGGTGGAGGGAGATGAAACAGAACCAGCTGCAAAGTTGCAAACCAACTTTTTTGGCCCGACAATGGAGCCAGCTTGGGTTCTGGGAGGCTTGTGCCCTTGTTGGTGGTTTCAGTGCTGGTGGATGGCTTGTTGGCAGAGCCAGCTGTAAGGAAATGCCCATCTGCCTCCTGTCGTGGCTTGTAGCTGACACTGTCGGAACTGCGCATTAGCAGGGTGACCCACCAGCATCACTTCACAAGCGAAACCTTTTACATGAACCAGATTTTATCACAGGATAAATTGATCACTCGTAAGCACAAAATACATGCATAACCTGAAATATGTCCCAGGCACTGGCTTCTTCTATGTGCAGGCATCCCCATCCGGTCCTGACAACCTTCCTTTTTAAAGGAAACCAAACCCATACAAATTAAATAAGCCCAAAATTTATATATATATATATATATATCTATATACAAATCTTTCAATCAGGATTCATCATGCATGGAAGAAAGCTGTCTGTGGGAGTCTCAGAAAAAAAAAAGACTCGCAAGTTGTGTCACAAGCTGCACCCTGACAACTGCTCAGTGATTTTGCACCGGACGGTGTCTGTCTGGAGAGGAGTTAGCTGCAGGGAGGGGAACGTGGGGCTGGAAGGGGGTGCCGGGATCAGCCAGGCCCCTGTCAGCAGCAGGGAGCTGTGCCTGAGAGCACCCCAACACTGCCAGGTGAGGACAGCAGCCTGCCGGTCATCTCAGGACTCTTAAATTCTTAAATGCACCAAAAGTCCTGATCAGTGAAAGCAGAGGGAATCTTTCCAGTGCTTTCAGCAGGCTTGGGATCATCTGAGATGAAGAACAGAGGGAAAGCTCCTGTAATCCCCTAATCCTGTCAAGGCATTGTGCTTTCCAGCAGGTGATTTTCTTCCACATGAGCAGGATGGTTTCTGTGTTGACAACATCTCTTTAAATAGCGGGGAGCACAGATACAGCCCACTTAAAATGGTTTTGGTCTTTTTTTTTTTCTGGCCCCTTTGGGAGAAGTTCATCTTTTATGAGCATTAAAATGTCGTGCGAACACCTGAGGCTTGGTGTTCCAGGCGGATGCTGACACGAGCGCGATTACCCGTTTGCACTGCTGTAACAGGGCTGTGTTCACAGCCCCTGAAACGTGGGCACGGCCACCCAAGCCAGCCAGCCGAGGCTCCTGCCTGAACTTTCCCTGAACCCTAGTGGCTGCCTGGTCAGACCGGGGCTTTCTGCTCCCTCTCCTCTAGGTCAGGTGAACTGCATACGTGATGCTCATCAGTGTGCTTCTCCCCCTGCAGCTGCAATGCCGAGACTGCTGCCAAATCCCCCTCCAAGGGACAGTGTGATCTGAAGAAAGCCGATCTCCCCCCTCCGGAGGACAGCCAGCAACCCACAGCGATGTCCATGGCAACAGAGGCCTGGGAGGAGAAGGCGAGCAGTGAGACATCCAGCGAGGCTCAGCCTGCGGGGAACGTAAGGGAGAGAAAATCACCTCTGGTCTTGTGCGTTTGTTTAGGATTTTTTCTTGTCAGAAGCTCTGGAGGATCCCTTTGCTATAGGAACTGGGCAGCCTGGGATCTGAAGCCCCACCAACTCCCGTGAGCAGTTAAACTCCGTCAGCAGGATTCCTAGTGCCTGTTTTATCACAGTGAGGCAGGAGCCAGCTGTGTGCCCCTGCCGATCTGCCACTGCACCTCTTGCAGGGTGTTCAGCCATAACCCCTTGGTGGCTTTCACCGTGCCACCAGCCCCTTGCTGCACAGCCCAGGGGACCAGCCAGGCTCCTTTAGTCCCTGCTTCGTCCAACCCCCCTGCTAACAATTGCCTTTCTCCTTTGCAACCCCAAACCCAGCCGCTGCAGAGCAGACATTGCTCTGAGCACTGCGTTGCTCCCAACCCGCTTCCCTTGCCTCTCTTGCAGACCTCCAGCCCTGGCTGCCGCCGCTCCAGCTCCGACATCGTCCATGAGAGCAGCGCCAAGGCCCAGCGGGAGTGCCGGCTGCGGCCGCACTTCAGCGACCCCATGCCGACGGACTCGGTGAAGAGGAAGCAGCTGGAGCTGAAGATCGCGGCGGCGGCGCGGCAGCACGCGCAGAAGCGCCGGCAGGAGCGGGACTACGGTACCCACAGGGTGCACTCCCAGGGGGGTGGGCGATGGGCCAGGTGCTGAGCTGCCTGGCTGCCTTTACTTCTGCTTCCCACCCCCGAACTTTCCAGCAGCGAAACAGGAGGGGAGGCAGCCAGCAGCCCTGCTTTCGTCCGGTGTCCCTGCCAGGGTCTGTGCTGCTCGTGGCTGTGCCACGCTGAGCTCCGTGCAGCTGGCAGTGCCTCTAATGATTTCCGTCTCTTCCCAGGTCCCGTGGTAGCCAAAGCCAACCTCGGCCATGGCGGCAGCTTCGACGAGACTCGCCGCGCCCCACGTGGCTCCCTCCGCTCCCGGCACCACTGGAGCAACGTCAGCAGCCTGAGCACAGACAGCGGGATCGTCGGCCTGAACGACGCCCGAGAGGAGCTGGATGCCGGCGGCGAGGCTGCGCGGACCAAGCCGGCAGAGGTGGAGCGGGCAGACAGCGGCATTGGGCAGACGTCGGCCAGGAAGTGGAGGAGCAGGGCGGCCGAAACGCTGAGCTCCCTGCAGGCCTGGGAAGCCCACCGGCCCTGCACTGACTGCGGAGAAAGGGACCTCCCGGCAGAGACAGACGTGCAGAACTGCAACCAGCGGCGGGCCGACCTGTGCGAGAAGTGCCGCAAGCGCAGGACGGAGCGCAAGGAGTCTGTGCTGGAGTTTGTCAACACGGAGGCCAGCTACGGGGAGGACCTGCGCATCATCAAAGAGGAGTTTTACCTCCCCATGCAAGCGGCCGGGCTGCTGAGTCAAGAGCAGCTCCTTGGCATCTTCAGCAACATTCAGGAGCTCATCGACCTCAACGAGAACTTCCTGGAGATCCTGCAGGAAGAGATCGATCAGGCCTTTGACCAGGTACGGTGCCTGCGTGCTCTGCAGGCAGACAGGAGTAGGTTTTGTATCAGGAAGGCAGCACAGCTGGAGGAGGGGAACTGGGAGGTGGAGGACTCCTGGGTTCTGCTCACCTGCCCAGTCTCTCGCTCCCTCAGCTGTTGGAAACCAGGGATTTCAGTAGGTCTGTGCCAGGTTGGAGCTGCTGGCCTCAACCCTCTGGCCTTACCCACTGTGGTAACGCCGCTGACTTGAGCAGGCCATCAGCCCTGTATCCCCCTAGCAGGACCCATCTGTCCCATTACCAAAGGTGGCTTTAAGCCAGCTAGCTTGGACACTTCTAGGTGTGACCATGGGGGCACAGAGCTCAGCTACCAGAGGGGTGGAGGGGGCCAAGCTTGCAGGCCACGCTCTTACCCAACTGTGAGCTGGCTTGGGGTTGCAGCTCATTGCAGCTTGCCTCTAGGCTGGCTGCAGGGCCAGGCAGCACAGGCTGCTCCCTGCTCTGGAGGCAATCTGCACTTACTTACAGCTCTGTGTGCCAGTTTCTCGTACTGATGCACTCTGCCTTGCACTTAAGACTCTCCTGTCACAACAGCATAGTGGGCAGAGAAATGTAAGTTTTTAGAGCAGCAGACAGTTGCTGCAAAGGACACACAAACAGCTCCACGCCCTCCTTTCTTTGAGAAACCAAAACCCACTCGTTGCTTTATCAGTTTCACCAGGATGTTTGTTTGCTAGGAAGCACATCCCCCCTCTCCTGTGAAACCCTGCATGTCAGACTGAGCAACGCATCTCAGGAGCTGACAACCTCTCCCACACCTGGCCCAGTGAAGAGAGATGTACACTGCAGTTCTCACGTCCCCTGTGAATAATTTCTTGAGACAGGGGCTTCTACAACAGCTGTGGGTTTCCCTGCCTCCTCCTCCATGTTACCCTTTGCAGTCAAAGCCCGGTACTGCATCAAAAACCAGAGAAGTGCTCCCTCTCTTGCTACTGAAATGAGCAGGAATTGCCGAGCGTGTCAGCACACACCTCAACAAAGCTAAGAGCATTGGGTGCCACCAGGTTCTCATGTTTCCAATTAGTCTGGAAGCTGAAGAGCAATTTACCATGAAATTTATTTTCACTTAGGCACCAAAGTAGCCAGTAAGAGCTCAATGAAAGAAGATCGTGCTTCCCAGCCAGCCCAGTTGCTCAGAACAAGTGCAGTTCTAAGTTCTAAGTTGCTAAGTGCCATGCCTGTTGCCTGAGTTACGTGCCTCCCCTGCCCATATGAACCCATTCGAACCTAAACCCTCCACCAGAGGGGGGGAGCCCAGTCGGTGTCCCCCCGCCCTGGCACCCAGCAGACCCTGCGGTACGGTGGCGCTGCTGTGGCTGAACGCAGGCTGTGTGCTCCTGCCTCTCCCGAGCTAACCCAGCGGGGCTGTGTTGTGTGCTTGCAGGGGGATGACGACCTGATGACCGTGTGCATCGGTGAGATCTTTCTAGAGTTCGTCAACATGCTGCCGGCCTTCCAGACCTACTGCCTTCAGCAGTCCTCCTCAGTGAACATGCTCAACGCGCTGGAGAAGGAGAAAGAGCTGCTCAGGTGAGAGGAGGGCTGGTGAGTGTTCCTTGGGGCTTTGAGGGCCGGAGAGCACCAGGCTGAAGGCAAAGCCTTTGTCAGCTCAACTAGATCACAGGTTTATTGCTGATGTTCTTCAGCGATGAGCTGCTCTGGCTTAGGGTGAGGAGTGTGCTTGAGGCTCCCAAATATGTTCAGCCCTTGATATCTTCACTGAAGCAGTCTCTGTAGTTGGTGTCCAGCTGTATCCTGTATTTTGGGGTACTAGTGTTTGCCCACTGACCACGGGGCTGAACTTTCACTAAATAATGTCACTTATAAATTTATAATAATAAATTATAAATAATAATAATAAAAAAATATAAAAAAACAATACATTTTCACTAAAAAGCTGAGAGCAGCTCTCAGCAGAGCACGGTTTGGATTCCCACTGGGGAAAGCCACTGCGTGAAGCGTGCATGACTTGAATCATATCCCGTTCCGAGCCCCAGCCTGCTGGGCCAAGCTGGGCTAGTCACTTCTCTGTTTCCACTGCAACAGCTATAAATTGATGACGGTACCAAACTCCTGTTCAGAGCTTTGTAATCGAGTGATGAAAGGACCTACACACAGATGTAACCTGATAAAAGCTGATGTGCCTGCCTCAGGCCTACCTCAGCATGCGCCACGGGAAGATCACACCCTCACTGCTCTATGGTGATTTCATAGGAGACTGCTAGGATGTTATGTGATAGTGTTCCAGGCCCCTTTTTTTAATTTTTGAGAAGACAGAATTCACAATGCTATTAAAACCAAGGGGGCGGGCGGGGGCTGCAGTGCTCAGGATTTCATCTTAGTGCTTAGGATTGCAGCAGCTGCCGGCAAAACAGCCCCTGTTTCATTCCCTGTCCTTAAATCCCTGCAGGATATTCCTCGACGTGTCCCAGAACGATAACACGGCGCTGCGACGGATGAACCTGCGCTCCTTTCTGATGGCCCCTCTGCAGAGGGTCACCAAGTACCCCCTGCTGCTCAGCAGAATCATCAAGGCCACCACCGAGTACCACCCAGACCACGGCAGCCTGCGGGAGGCCAAGAGCCGCATCGAGTCCCACCTGGAGCACATCAACATGAAAACCAAGCAGGAGGGCAACACGTGGACCCTCCGCTCCTTTCGGCAGGACAGCAAGAAGAAGAGGGAAGTCATCAACATCGAGATGAGGGAAACCGCCCTCAAAACGGTGGGATGGCTGCGGGAGGAGACACGCTTCGTGATGGAGGGGGCCCTGCAGCTGGCCCAGCCCCCTGACGGCCAGTGGGTGAAGAAAGGCAGCAAGACCCTCAAGTTCCAAAACATGCAGGTCCTCCTGCTGGTCAACATGAAGCGCGTGTCCGAGTCCAGCCTGGAGCTAGCTGAGCCAGGGCCCGTGAAGGACGCCGTGCTGGTGCTCATCAGGGACAAAAACAATGGCAAGTTCCATTTGCTCAGGGAGCCCTTGAGGCTGAGTAATTGCATCGTCTCCACTGATCCTGACTGTGACGACACTTTTGAACTCATTGAGATCAGGCGGGAGGCGTTTGTGTTCCGGGACAGCGACCGGGCACGGACTCACCACTGGTTCAGGCAGATCAGGCGCTACTCAAGGGAGCTGGGCTCCTGGAAGAAGCGGCGCAATGCGCTGCCCAACATCATGATCAGCACCCCGCACACCCGGCCCTGAGTCCTGCGTGGGCAGCACGCGGGGAGCCTCGGTGGCTTCGACTTGCTCCGCTCCGTGGACGACACAGAAAGGAGCCTCTGACCCAGAAAGAGTTGTGGCTCCTGCCCAGCAGCACTGGAACTGAGTGTTACAGCCTAATCCTCGTCTCCAGCCTCAGGACTCACGTCCTGCGTGTGGCCGAGGGACCTGCACGCAGGGGCTTCTCTTGAGGAGCAGGCCCCTGGAAGAAAATACTGAGTTTTAGTTGTTAATATTGCACTGTGGGAGAATGATGTGTGATGCTTGCATTTGCATGGATTCTGTTGAAAGCCAGTCTTGACAACATGAGAGAGGTTTCCACCATTGTCTATATTTCATCAGCATTAGGTAAAGTCAGGGTTAAAATTAGGCGCAGTATTATGCAGCAGAGGAGGAAAGTTGGAGAAAATGTTTTTCACCACTACTCCCCTAAGGACTATATTTCATTTTTCACCTTTGTATGTTCAGTCAAAATACTTGTTAAAAAAAAGAAAGGTCGTTCATCTTTAATCCAAATCAAGTATGTATCGGTTTGCTCAGATTCAGCTGCATGCACACAGCAAACAAAGACAAAATCAGGCAAGAATAAAAGGAACTCTTGCTTTCTCACACATGCACCCCAAATACATCTAGAACCTGTGGACGAGCAGTATGCTCGCACTGGAAGTCTGTTATTTAACCGGCTTAGGGACTGGAACGTAGCACTGCATCTGAAATGTCTCAGACATGTATGTAAATATCTCTCTGCTACCACTAATAGTGAACCTAAAATGCAATTATTTAAATGATGTAATCTAGTGTATTTCAAAATTTAATGGAAAGGAACAATTTACATTGTACTGTAGAGTAACATAAAAGGTTTTAATAATTATGTTTCAACGACTTTAGGTGGGTATTTTTTTAAAATCTTTGGGTTAGTTTGTTTTCTGGAGTAGATATTGCATTTAGTGCGAGTGGCGTTCAGGGGAACAATGTGCCCATGTCTGTTCTTTGGATGCCCTGAGCAGAATCCAGGGGGTAGTCCTAATGAATCTGGGAGAATGGTACAGCCCTGCTGCCCTTAATTATCACCGGACAACAATCGTCTGGCACAAAGCGTTCTGCCCTGGCTGCAGTCCCACCAGGGCAGGGCAGGCCCCAGCACAGGAGAAGCCAGAGCTGAAACTGAGAGCACAAAGCTCTCCCCTCTAAGGTCTGGCCTCTCTCAGCTCCTCAGCAGCAAAATTCCATGAAGCTGAACAATGGTAAAAAGGCAGAAAGGTTCTAACCTTTTCAGCCTGACATTCCCACTGCCTGTGGCCTTGTGATTACAGGTTCAGCAAAATGTCATGCCGTGACTTATGCAGCAAAGGCCAGATCACAGGCCGAGAGGCTAAATTAAAGGAGCCTGAGTTTTGGTTGGCGGATCACAGAGAACAATCTGTAAATGTTCTTGGAGATCATCCCTGGGGGAAAGACAAGACCAGTCAGTATTAATCACTGTCAACAAAACATTTCTGTTACAGGAGGATTCACACTGGGAATGTATCTGTGCATTTCTCCAGAGATCACCTAGCACCAGCGAGCCCGCAGACGAAGGCAGACAGAGGCAGACCTTTGTGGAGGTAGCCCTAGTCCTGTAAAATCACCGCCAACCCAACACCAAACCCTATCCCGTTCGTTGTCCCTCTGCCACAGCAGCCGGGGCTTGTTATGTGCTGCTCCAGACACTGAGGCAAACACGGTCAGTGCAACGTGCTTACCGCCTGCATTTCCTCGTCATCCTTAGCGCTTCATTTTGTCCTTGAGGAAACGGGAGTTTCCGCATCATCTGGAGGCTTTGCAACCACAGTACCCAAGAGGAGGGTGGCAGCACACAGCTGAGCACCGTAGCGAGTGGCAGCTGCCCAAATGCCTGCCAGGGCAGCTGCCCGGCTCCCTCCAGTGGCTCGGAGTCCCCCCCCAGCTATTTCTAGTTAGAAAACAAATTGTTCCCCAAAATATGCATTGAACAGCCAGTTCACAACTAACACAAATAGCTTTTATGATTTTTTGTTTTTCAAATAAATTGTCACGTAAACAGTGAAGCTGCTGGAGGAAGATCTCTCTGACCCTCTCCTGACAGCCCCGCATCTAGCAGCCTTCCAGCTCCATTCCCACGACAGGCACAAAGCACCAACTCCTTGCACCTTCCTTTTCTCTCCCAGATCAAAAGGACGCAGCTGCCTTCTCTTCATTCCCTCCAGTGGCAGTCATGCTAAGAGAAAACATAAGCACAGTAACCTAATAATTTATCCAAACAGCAAGTGGCTTTCACAGCCCCAGAAAGCTGCTCCTTTCTGGGAGGTTTTTGATTACTTTCTAGCACGATGGTTTTCTCCACTCCAATTCACAATCGAATCCAGCCATGAACTGTTTGCACAGTCGTATCTTTATATCGAGATACCCCCAGCCACCCTGGCTGTTCCAAAAGGTTAGAGAACAATAAGTAGATGTAAGAGGTCTACTTTTTCGCATCAATCTTGCCTATGGATGATTGTTCAGTTTTTCACATTCTGGGTTCCTCTAGGTATCACAGGAAACACCTGCCAGCTAGGCTGGTAGCAAACAGGGCCTGTTTCCTCTGAACCAGGCAAACTCCCCCAAAGAAGGTCGGTAAATAATTGCCCTCTGTTGAGTTACAAGCAGGACGTGTACTCGGCGCTGCAGCCCTGTCCTAAAAAACCTGTGGCCAGGGAACAGTACGAGCTCTTTGATCTGGGACAGCCTGCTATGGCAAGCGACAGACTGATTGTGGAACCTGTCAGGCGAGGCAGAGGCTGTGTTTTGAATGTTATTTATCTTTTACTTATCCCGTGTGTACTCAGCTGCGTGCCTGCTTTTAAATTACAGGTGTTGAAAGGGAGCCCAAGCACAGAACAATCCCTCTGGCCCTGCGAGCACTCGTGCTGTGGGGTGAGCCTGCAGAGGAAGGAGGAGCAGTGTCAGCGCACTAACGAGGCAGTAAGTTTCCATAATCCTCAGGCACCTTCCTGAACCTGGATGATCCCTCTCCTGGGAAGTCCCAGGTCCTTCAGTATCACATGTACACATCTTACTTGACAGCCCTAGAGATTAGCTTCGTTGTAGTTTTCCATTTCTGATTAAGCTGACAAAATGCTCTTATAACCCGTGGCACTTGGGAACAGGTTTGTCTACAAGCCCGGGAAGTAATTACTTGTTCCAAACTGGCCTTCCTAGGGCTCTACAGGATTTTTACACCTCTTAGAATTCATGAATGACAATACTAAAAAATTAATGACTGACCATACTCGGGTTACTTTTCAAGACTCCTTCCAACTGCACTTGCCTTGCTAGTATGAGCAGGCCAGAAGGAAGACACCCTCTCTGAAGTACTACATTAGGGGAAAAAATAAAAAAAAAGTCAACTGGTCACTTACCAGGTGGGAAAAGAAAAAAAAAAGAGAGAGAAGGCAGGCTTTCTCATAGTTTCTGCAGTTTTTACCTCAAAAGGCACACACACACAAAAAGCACCAGTGAGATCAGGTACTGAAGGAAGGAAAACCCACTTTAAGCCAGCATGCTGGGTGGGACAGCCTTAGAAAACATGGGGAGATGAAAAGTAAATGCTTTAGAAAGCAGAGATACCTGCTTTAGGGAACAAATAGAGATCTTCCCTTTTATAGTGAAAGAAAACGTGAAGTGGTACTGACAGAAGACCCCAGCAGAGCCAGAGGTTTGCTGTTACCCCTCAGAGCACTGAGCCACAGAAGTGAATCTGATGGGACCCTCCCCACAGTTGACAGGGAACACACATTTGGGTGCTAGCTGACACATCTTGATCTGCAATGGGATCAAGAACGCATCTGAAAGGGAACACCAGCTTTGCTCTGGCAGCAAGAAGCTATTGTAGCTGTCACTGGAGACCGAGAGACTGACCTCAGCACATCCTAAATCCTGTGAAAAAAAAGCTCTGAGATGATCTCATGTTTCCTGCCTGCGGGGAACTTCAGTCATTTGATGCTCATGAAAAGATTACGGAGCTAAAGTCCCAGGAAGCCAGATCTCCAGAAGGTGAGTCTGGGAATCTTGCACTGTCTCTTGCACTCGTCCCCAGCATCCTCAGAAGGAAGAGAATTCAAATCTTCTAGCACCACGACCAAGACAGCCCTTCAGGGCTCAGGTATCAGGCAGCTGTAACAACTGGTCCTAGGAGCAGACCCAGGAACCTTGTTCCAGCGGTGGTGGAGCCCCAGGCACTGGGTTTGAACCCTTCCTCCCAGCGCAGGAACCTCCCCTGTGGTGCCAGCCATGTCCTGGGGGGACCAGCACCAAATATCTCTCTGGGAGCTGCGGGAGGGCTGGCAGAGGAGGGTGTGGAGCCTGGAGGTCACAAGGCAGCCACGCACACGTCACATCCCACAGGCTGGAGTAGCCGAAACACGTGAAGAGCACAAGGCCTTTATAGTCCCGAGGTTCTGCCACCGGGGCTGAAGGATCAAATCTTTTCTCCCCCTTAGACTTTCTGCAGCACCTTTACAGTTGCCAGCAGATCGCACTGGGTCTGGTGCAGACCCAGAGAAGGCCAGAGAGCTCCCCCTGCCAGGGCAGGAGCCAGCAGGCTCCCTGAAGAGCAGGCAGCACACTTACAGGCTTCAGGGTCTTGCATTTTCCCAACAGAAGCAGGTCAGACATTCGTACACGCACAGTGTGAAGGTGCAGGTGAACAAAGGAGCATGCTCCCCTTCTCTCAAGGAAGGGCTGGTTTTAGGACAGTCGTGTTCCCCTCAGGCAGGGCAATCCTCCAGCGGTGGCTGCCCAGAGAATGCCACAAGTGACGCAGTTTGAAGCGACAACAAACACAGGCAGAAAAACCTGCAGGGAGATAAGCATCTCCAAATAATTCGTGCCTGACCCACGCGTGCAGGAGATGCTGTGCTGTCAAGGACAGCTCCTTTCAGACTCCAACCCTCGCTTAATGATGCTTCATGGATTCGACAGGCTCTGAGCAGCCCCCACACTTCAGCACAGTGGCACCACGTCCCCCAGCAGCAGACAGTGCTTTAACGAGGGGAGATGGACTGCTGGCGAGTAGCAGAGGTCAGGATCAACAGGCAGACCCCAGGAGTCATCCACCCGTGTTTACTTTCTGCTCTTGTTGATTTCCTTGGCAAACAATGACCTCACCAGCTGAAAAATGGGAGTGAAGATCTACAGCACCGGAATCATCACTGCAGCAAAAGGCAGGCACGTTATTTGCCCAGAGAGAAAACCCTCGGCCATCCTAACAGAACTGGAAGCAGTTAAGTCACTGCAAGAAGAAACGCAGAGCATTTACCAGAGGGTTACAGCTCAGTGAACGTACAGCTGGCACTGCAGGTAGAGGGGAAGGAGCCTCCCTCTGCGTGCTGGCACAGCGTGTGCTGCACTGCGTGCTGAACCAGGCTGGGAGCAAGCACTGCTGAAAAACAGGGATTGTTTCAGCTAGAGCAGGTCCTTAATCCAGCTCACTGCACAAAGACGTGCGCTGGCAGCAGCAAAGGGCAGGCTGGAGGTGGTAACATCCCTTAACAATTGCCAGGGTAAAGAGGTTGCTGGATTCGGGCTGCGGTTTGTCAACCCCAGCGGCACAGCCAGTTAAACAACCACCCCGGGTCTGCGTGGCATCCTGTGCCACCGAGCTGCTCGCCCCTATTTCCTGGCTGGTTTCAGGTCAGCACTCACATTGATCTGACCTGCGGGGATGGAACAGGCAGTGCTATAAATAAAGAACAGTTAATCAACTATTTGAGTGCCCTTTTTACTGAGGCAAAGAAGACACAGAGAAATGACGTCAAGATGGGGGAAAAAAGCCGCACATGAATACAAAGACGATCCAAAAGAGCGCTCCCTGGAACACACTCG